TAAATTTTTTTGTATAATTTAATTTGTATTCATAATCTTACGAGCATATTTGAAGTCTCCGACTATGCAGCTTGATCAAGCCTTTAACTACGTAATTTGATAAAGTTCTTCGATTTTTCAAATCTTTGAGTCTTCAAATCTTTGCTGAGTCTTGGATTACTTTGGACATCTCTTGAATATTCTACTAGACTTTGGATGATTCTGAATACTCACATAACTTTAAATTTGAATCCTTGAAAGGTGACCTTATATGTTTAGAGATAGAGTTTTAGCGGGTTTTATATGAGTTTTTTCTCATAGGTTTACGTTAGTGTCATACAACAATTTTAAGAAAACACCGTGGCATAATTTGGATTTGCAAATTTTAAAATTAATTTTAGAGCACATTTAAATTTGTGGTGGGTCCCAAATATAATTTTCTCATTTATTTAAAATAATCACGTCACATTTGATAATTTGACAAAATTTATCACTCAACAAATATATCTGCAGGTTTAAAATAAAAGAAAGTATTTGTGTCAAAATAATAAAGTATTGATGGATAAGGATATATTATCTCTGAGAGTCTGAATATTGGGTTTGGGCCCGTAAGTTTCTGTCATTTTCATGGGTGAAGAATTGGAAAAATTGGGCCCAAAAGCAACCAAGTTGCTTGTTCCTGCAGGTCATTGGGAGTTTGTGGAGAAAAAGTACAAGAAATTAAATAAAATTTATTTATTTTTTCCTTGAAAAGTCTACACATTTTTTATTGGGTTAGGCCAGTTTGATATTATTATGATTTTTTTATTTTTTATATAAAAAAGGAAAAAAAATAACTTTCAATTGTCCATTACGTATTTGCATTCTTAGTTAATGTACTAAAATGTGCTTTACCAGCAATCAAATTCCAAAAAGTTTTTCTTTTCTTTTCTGGAAAAGAGAAATCTTTGCTTCACAAAGCAAAAAGCGATGTAAATATAATTAATTTAGATTCGAAATTCTTTAGCAATTGAGTGAGATTTAAAAGGCCCATTACAAAGGTCCAGTCCAGTTTTCATTTGAGTTTTAAGCCATTAATGTACGGTTTTTTAGCCCAGCCCATAATTGTGAAACTACGCATTTTGAACCGGCCCAGTTGTTTGCAAAGCCCACTGAGATCTTATTTGATAGCCCTCCAGGATTGGCTAGGAGATCCAGTTTGTTTTTCAGAAATTCTGGTATCTTATATTTTATTTCTAGTTTTTTTTCCCCTTTTAAATGCATTTATTTTAACAATTATTCTTGTTTTGTATAATATATTTTTAATTTTTTTTAATGAAATTCTAATCAAAGTTTTGAAAAGAGAAAGAAGGAAAAAAAAAGGTGGTTTCAAAACAAAGATATTGTTAATAAAAAGCTTAAAGGCCAAATCCTAATACTGCTGTTTCCTGTT